AAGAGAAAAATATTAAATTCAGRACCAGAAAAAAGTGGCTCCACTGTGAAACTTCTTTGAATTTATTCCATAAACATCCTTAGTATTGGGGCTATAAATGAAGTCACAACCAATGTGTGTTTGCTGGACTGAGTTGTTTCCCAAAGGAAATATTGAAAAGAGCAATATATTTAAATGGGAATCTTACACTATGCTTTAAAAAATATTTAAAATTACTGTAGATAATACTGTTGGATTAAGAAAAGGCACAGTCTGAATAGCTAATGGATTTCTTAAAGACTGCATTTCTTTGGTTTATTTAGATAAATTCAGCTCTGTAAAATGTGCAAAATTAATCAGTTTTATGTGAGAGCTTCTTCCCCCCACCACTTGCACCGAGGGTGGTTGAAATACTCGAGGAAGATTCTAAATGAAATTATTTGTTTCTAATTTCATCTGCCCTCCTTTTATTGCAGCTGTAATTCTTTAATTAATCTCATAATGGAACTCTTGTAAGTGATRATCTCATCATATTCTATGCTTTTACACTTTTAATCTGGTATATAAAATATATRTATATATGTGCACACATATATATTAAAATCTTATAYGTTGAATGTGCTTCATGGAATAATTTGGTTTCAAAGTAAGCTTTATAAACAGGTTACAAGTGGAAGGCTGCTTGCTGTCAGTAGGACACTGCACTGAGAAGAATTTCACTCTGCTTTTCTTTATTTTGGAACTTTACTGTATTTATAGGTATTTGTTTGGTTGTTTTGGAAAGGAAAATGCTGCAGCCAGAGTGGTTTAAAATGGGGGCACATGTATGATTGCTTTTGATTTAAAAGCACACATATAAAATTGACTTACAMAGAAGACCTTAAACTTTCTTTTTTTTAAGGGGAAAAAAAAGAGAATCCAAGAACAAAGCAGTCCCAAGGGCTGAGTACGTGGTGGTGGTTTTCATCAAGCCTCATTCAAAATGCTTGAGATGTTTCTGAAAGTTTAATCTTGGCACCAACAGCTGAGAATGTCGTGATAAAAGTCATAAGACTCATGACAGAGAATCCAATTTATTGGTCCACACCCCAGACTCAGACATCTTTGAAAATTTGTAAAGATTACGGTAACATTTAATTTCTGAAACTACGTTGGGAATGCTTGAAAAAATAAAAAGGAAAGATGATCATTTAGATAAACTGCAACATGTGATGTTGTGAACTGAGCTGACACAGACACAGCAGTGGGGCTGTGAACACGAGTCTGAATAATCCTCCAGGACCAAAGTGTATTTTCACTCATCACTCTGCAGTTGTTAATGATTTGTAATGGAAAAAAGGGGCAATTGCAATTTGGCAATTTTTCTGTGATTATCTTTTTGTTTTGTTTTTTCTTTTTTTTTAAGGAGAGGAAAAATTGTTCATGGGTTCTGTAATCTTCGTTTCCTTTTCCTGCTTTTAACCTTAATGCTAAAAAACATTGGAGCACTTTTACTGCAAGTGCTGGTGGTGGTTTTGGTTAACCATTTAGATAAGCAAAGCCAAAATTTCTGTTTTCTACTCTAGGAAGCGTTGAAAGCCTGGAGAAAAGGCTGTCACCAGCTGAAAAACAAAGCCTGCAAATCAATCCTGCAGCAAAACCACATTTGAGACTCTTTTAAAAAACAGAGGTGGGGAAGGGGGCAGGGGAAGAAAAGCTGTTAGTGGAGTCTAACACAGTGGAAATGGGACTGAGAGGATCCACAGGAGAGGGTGMAGCTCCCAGAACACCAGAGCTGTGTCCCTTTAGCCCCAAAACCCTCCCTGGGAGGACTCTTGGCAAATTGGCAGCAATTCCCACTGCATCTCATTCCTGGAGGTTTTCCTCTCTTAACTCGGGTGTTCTTGTCGGTTCTACATCTAATCTAACATTTGTATCTTCCCATATTTCTTTTCTTTTTTTGCACCTTGAATTGCAAAAATGCCATTTAAATATATTCTAATGAATTCTGAGTCYTTCTGTCAAAATATGAGGAAAGCAACAGTGCACTGCACAAGCAAATTCTGCTAGAGATCTTTCAGCCCTTATTTCCCATAATTATCACTGAATTTTGGTGTTTGGAAGTCCCCTRTATGTCAGCTCTTGCTTTGCTAATCTGATCCTAAATGAATTAAAAAATGCCCTGAAACTTTCTGTCCCCCACAGTCATGAAAGCAAGACTAAGCCTTTGACAAACTCTGCTCCTGATTTGGAGAATTAGGCTTGTTCTGCCACTTTTAAAAAATCCATTTTGCAGAAGCCTCTTCTGCTGAGTGATCCTCTGACAGTTTCACTTCAGATTCATGACTTGCAGGAGCTTCTACGGGCATAATTTCCATTTTATCATATGTTTGTTTATTTTATATATCTGTATTCAGCAGATTATTTTCTTATCACTAGTGACTGACTATTTCCCAAAGTAAAAAGTTTCACTAATAATTGTATACAGGCMGACTTCCAATAGTAAGAAGCTGAAATTATAAACACTTTATAAAAAAACTGTCTCTTTAAAAGTCAGGTCTTATTTCAGCAAGATTGCWGGTGGCTCCAATTTCATGTTCAGGCTTCTTTGGCATTTCATTGGGAGGCTCGGCTCAAACTCCTTTCTATATATAYATTTTACTCCAAGCCCCTGCTAATAAGTTATTCCAATAGATTTTCTTTAATGGATTTTCATCTTCTTATAGTCGGAGTCTATAGTATTTTTCACTACTATTTTCAACTTTAAATTAAAAAATTTTAAATTTTTTTTAAATTTAAATCACTCCATTTAAATTACGGAGTGTAGTTCTCAGAGTTCTGTGAGGCAGTGTGGGAGCACAAA